AATCCTGGTTAAGGTCATATGTTGAAACAGGATAGGAGGGATGGTAACCTAATTCTTAACAATGGATTTAAAAGGCACAGTCAGTGACTGAGAAATGAAAGAAGATGAAGTTTAATTTTTACTCTTCAGTGAGGAATAGTGTCCTGAAATGTGTCATTCTGTCACGAAAATAACCTAAAAAGATGGGTGACCAATTTTCAAATATGGATAATCCAGATCAGGCCTTTGGATGCTTAATTTGGCACTGAGGCAGACAAGTAAGTACCAATTTGAGTATTCAGCTCAGCAATGTAGCTGCCCTACTAGATTATTATATCTGAAAGCTGAATCCTTTGTCAGCTAAGTGCAGAGTTTTAAATAAAACAAACATCACAGAAGTGTAAAGAGAAATGAGCCACCATTAAATGTACAGTCAACTCCAGAACAGTCATTTTATGGACAAAATATGTTATGCATAATATTAATTCATAAAGTCAAAGAAAACTTCACTGGATGTGAGGTGACTGGATGATAAACTGAAGTGTCTGTAACTGTTGTTTTAACACATTCAAGACTGCACTTACATTTCATTCCGTGAAATGCTCACTAATAGTTACAAAAGATTCCTTCCTGTGGTTTGTTTCCTGTTTCTCTCTGTTAGATTATAAGGTCTAGGTTTACTTTGTTCTGCCTCAGTGCAGGAGGCTGGATTTCATTATTTCTTGAGCTCCATTCAAGCATGACATTTCTATTATTCAATAATCTGCAAGAACCCAGATTGCTCAGATACATGCCATAATATAGAGCCTAAAGAGAAGAGAGCTGGAAACTGTTGGTGTAAGCCAAGGGAGGGGAACCTAAGTCCCAGGAGCCAGATACAGCCTCAGGCTTGCCTGGATCTAGTCCCTGAGCCTCAGGGCTCTCCACCCAGCATCGGGGAACCAATGCTGATGCTTCAGCCTCCCCCATCCCCGATCCCACAGCAAACCAGAATGTGAGGATTGGGTTGTTTGTTTGTTTGCTTGCTTGCTTCTCTCTTCAGTGAGACCCTGATTGATCTTTCTCTGGATCACAGGCCCCTTACCCAAAAGAGGTTCCCCATCCCTGGTGTAAACTGATAGACTGACCACAGATTATCACTATTTAACACACTGAGTAGTAAGGCAAGGCAATGTATGCTTCTAACACGTTAGCTGATCCAGTTGAACCCTAGGCAGAAATCTTCTAGGAGTGTGAGCTAGCATATTCTGAAAATATAACTGTGGCTGGGTCTCCCGGGCAGCAGGGTGGCCTAGTGGTTAGGTCCCGGTGTTAGCTGGGGGCCCGGGATGTAGGATTTCCGGCTGCTTTTCAGAATCTGTTCCTCCAGTTTGGGGCATGCCCCAAAAGTCCAATTTACTTCTGGTTCTCCCACTTTGTGCCAGGGGGAGGGCTTGGAGGCTTATGTCCTCCTGTGGCTAACCCAGCAGATAATTCTGGCTCAGGTCCTGCCGACAGCAGAACCAGCTCCTGCCTCTTCGCTGGTCAGCCCCTAATTGAGCTGGGTTCTCTGCTTTTATTCTCCCTCCAGGCCTGGCATTAGCTGCAGGTAAAATGGGGCAGGGCTAAATGAGCAAAAAGGCCTTGTTTAGCCCCTGCACTGCCAGGCCCTCCTCTCACTCCCTCACGCATTCCCCCGCCTCCCTTATGACCGCCATTGGGGTCTGGCCCTCCCCCAGCTGCGTTCCATCCCCCTTGGAGAAAAAGTCTGCATTTGCATGGGCCTTCCTAGCACAATGTTGAATCCAAAAGGAGAAAGGGTTGGAGGGAGAGGTACCACCTCATAATTCTGGGGTTTGTCTTTTCCATTGCATGTAGCCAGTGAAGAGGGGCATGGTCTGTGTCTTCCCAGGAGGTAATATCAGAGGGTATGTCTACACTACCCCGCTAGTTCGAACTAGCGGGGTAATGTAGGCATACCTCACTTGCAAATGAATCCCGGGATTTGAATTTCCCGGGCTTCATTTGCATAAGCGGGTCGCCGCCATTTTTAAATCCCCGCTCGTTCGAACCCCGTGCCGCGCGGCTACATGCGGCACGAACTAGGTAGTTCGAACTAGGCTTCCTAGTTCGAACTACCGTTACTCCTCGTGGAATGAGGAGTAACGGTAGTTCAAACTAGGAAGCCTAGTTCGAACTACCTAGTTCGTGCCACGTGTAGCCACGCGGCACGGGGTTCGAACGAGCGGGGATTTAAAAATGGCGGCGCCCCGCTTATGCAAATGAAGCCCGGGAAATTCAAATCTCGGGCTTCATTTGCAATTGCGGTATGCCTACATTACCCCGCTAGTTCAAACTAGCGGGGTAGCGTAGACATACCCAGAGTGAGTCCACTACCCATTTCACCACTAGCACCTCCTCTTCGATTGCAGAGTAGGTCTTCTCTCTGGGAAATACTGATGTAGAGGATCGGGAGAGAACAGCTCTGAGGCATCTGTCTATAACAAGAACTCCCTTGAGAAGTCAGGGCTGTACAGGACAGGTTCTCAACAGAGCTGGGCCTTTAGGGCTTGGAAAGCTTCCTCACAAGCTTGAGTCCACTGGATTTGGTTTGGACTCTCTTTCTTGAGGAGGTGGGTAAGGGAGACTGCAATGGAGGAGAAGCCCGGGATGAAGCGGTGATAGTACCGGCCTGTGGGCCACATGCAACCCACAGCCCATTTATTTGCAGCCCACGGTGCGGTTTGGGTTTACGCGGGGCTCAACATGTGGCCTGTGGGTGGGATCCTTTAAACATGTCCTCCACTGGGAACATGCTGCACAACGGCAAAGTGTCTCCCACATGGGGTGAGCATTGAAAGACGGGCTGGCTGGAACAGATGGGGACAGGGTGTCGGTGTTTCTAGCTGCCAGGGAGACCTCGGGGAAGAGGTGCTGGGAGTGCTGGGGCATTGTGTGAAAGAAGCTATTTGCATATATTTGCATATATATTTGCATGTATATGCAACCACACTTAAGTTGCAGCCCTTGGCATGCGCTGTGGGTATCATTGTGGCCCCCAGGACTTCCAAAGTTGAATAGCCTGGGATTACATGAAGTCAAAGCACAATTTTTATTTCCCTAGTGAGGGCAAGGCCTAAAATGCACACAAGGGAGTTGGAAGGGAGGAAAGTCTCCACAAAAATAACTAGTAGGAGGAAGAAGATGTGATGAGTGGGGCTGGGATGCCTATGCAGCAAGAAGTTAAAATTAACCCTCTATTCTCTCAACTTTAATTCACATTTTCTTCTGGCCTGCAATTGTGTGAATCAAATCAGTTTCATTCTTTTAGACTCCCCTCCTCCTGTACTTCCAAACATATAATTTACACCATCTTAAACCTCTGAACCTCAGACATACACAGGCATATTAATGTGTACACATTTTCCAGTGCACATGTATACACATACAAACAAGTTATTACAAAAACAACCTCTTTTTCTTCATCCAGTCATGGTGAAGAAATCCTTTTGTCACTTTTCATTCTCCTTATCTCCAACTTTTATGTTACTTTGAAGTTTTAGTTACCAGATAGCATGGATGTCTGCAGAAAAACATTTAATACTTTTGCCAACTCAGATAAGCACTCCGGGGATGCTTGTCTTCCACTGAACCTATTTATTTTTTGTTTTCTACATTAGGTGAATAAGATGGGGAATGAATTCCCTGCTCAGCAGAAGTATAACTATGAAAGTGCTAACCTCACAGACTGAGTTAAAATATAATGATCAGAGTGGCTGAAAGCCCCTTTGATCAGAATTCAGTGGACAGACCCAAATCACAGAGGCCTAATGATTTTCAGTCTTAACTTAGTTCCTAATGAAGTGAAGTTTATCTTGGAAAACCTTTGTCACAGTTGGACATAACCAGTAATTTTTATTCTCAAGACTTCTACTGAAGGGGGAAGCTAAATGATTCTCAGCAGTTTGTCCGTACAGGACAAGGTTGAAATGTATTTTTATAGGTAGTGTAACAAAAATGGTCTTCATCCTAGTCCCTGGGTAACATCACAAACCACCACACAATTTACCAGCATTATCAGTTTCTGCCTGGGAGAAGCACTGGAGTGGAAGAGGGAGGCCATGCAGGTCAAGGCTAAGGTGCATGCACACAGTTATGAGAGGAAACTTGCACTGCCTATGCGAGCAATGTGTCTAGCTCTGAAAAGTGTTTTTAGTCACATACTTTCATGTGACTTAGGAACATCATTTTTGTGTATGGAGTCACAGAGATCCTTAAAATGCAGCTTCAGGGGACAGTAATTGAATTTAATAGATGACGTTCTTGGATAAGCTTACCTCAGTTTAAATCTGCAGGTGGGAGTAAATAAATCTAATAGAAACTGTGGCTATCAAGCAATACATTGTCTCTATTTGGGAAGTGTTTTGTGGAGGGGCGGGGAGTGGTTCACTGCTGCTGCTCCTCTCTCCCCATCACTCCTTACATATTTAAGAATGAAAAAGGTACTCGGTAAGCAGTGACCTTTGCAATAGCTTTCATCTCAATTGGGCTTAATAAATAAAATCCCTTTGTGAAGCTAAAGCAAAGTTTCAATAAGAATGTACATGCTAATCAGAGATGCATCAATTCCATCTGTCTGTCTGTCTGTCTGTCAAGGTTTAATATCACATCACTGGGTCCCAGTGCTGCAAACATTTCATAAGTGCAATTAATTGTATTGCTATGCCTGTTACCACAGAGAGTGTGTTTGTCTCTGATTTAGCAACAGCACTCTCATGCCAAGACCTACATTGGAAAAATAATACTCTAGTCACTGTATCCAGTAAGAAGAATTGCTGAATGGTGTATGTGAACAGATTCTTAGACCTATCTCTTGACTTGTAATGAAAATCTGTTTTCTTTTTGTCTCCATTTATTATGTGGTTTCATTGTGGTTTTGCATGGAAATCTATGCCTGCTTTGAAATGGGTGCCAGAAATCTGGTCAAAACACTATTTTGTTACTAAGCTATCTTCTCCCCTTTTTCTTACTTCTTCCTCCAGGCTTGTGACCAAGAAGTAGACAACATTGGAGGAGTCATGCTTCACACGGCCATATCATGCTGGCAGCCATTCCTAGGTCTGGCTGTGCTGCTTGTTTTCATGGAGTCCACCATAGGCTGCCCAGCACGCTGTGAGTGCTCAGCACAGAACAAGTCTGTTAGTTGTCACAGGAGGCGCCTGATCTCTATCCCTGAGGGCATCCCCATTGAGACCAAAATCCTGGATCTAAGCAAGAACCGACTGAAGAGCATCAATCCTGAGGAATTCACATCCTACCCGCTGCTCGAGGAGATAGACCTCAGTGACAATATTGTTGCCAATGTAGAGCCTGGAGCTTTTAACAATCTTTTCAATTTGCGCTCGCTGAGACTGAAAGGAAACCGTCTGAAACTCGTCCCTCTAGGGGTATTCACAGGGTTGTCAAACTTAACAAAGCTTGATATAAGTGAAAACAAGATTGTCATTTTGCTGGACTACATGTTCCAAGATCTGCATAACCTGAAGTCCCTTGAGGTTGGGGACAATGATTTGGTTTATATATCCCACAGGGCATTCAGCGGACTGCTTAGCCTGGAGCAGCTCACCCTGGAGAAATGCAACTTAACAGCTGTACCAACAGAAGCCCTTTCCCATCTTCACAACCTCATCAGCCTGCATCTGAGACATCTCAACATTAACCTTTTGCCTGCATATGCCTTTAAGAGATTGTTTCGCCTAAAAGACCTGGAGATCAACTACTGGCCTTTACTGGACATGATGCCTGCCAATTGCCTGTATGGTCTCAACCTCACTTCTCTCTCAGTCACCAACACCAACCTGTCTGCAATACCTTATTCTGCTCTTAAACACCTGGTTTACCTGACACATCTAAACCTCTCTTTCAACCCCATAAGCGCCATAGAAGCAGGCATGATTGCAGATTTGGTGCGTCTGCAGGAACTGCACATGGTAGGGGCCCAGTTACGTACCATTGAACCACATGCTTTCCAAGGGCTCCGTTTTTTGCGTGTTCTTAATGTGTCCCAAAACCTATTAGAAACACTAGAAGAGAATGTATTTCATTCCTCCAAAACTCTTGAGATCCTCTGCATTAACAACAACCCCCTGGCTTGTGATTGCCGCCTCCTTTGGATATTACAAAGGCAGCCCACGTTACAGTTTGGTGGCCAGCAGCCCATGTGTGCCGGCCCAGACAGCGTCAGAGAGAAGCCGTTCAAAGACTTTCATAGTACTGCCCTTTCCTTTTACTTCACCTGCAAGAAGCCCAAGATACGAGACAAGAAACTACAGTACCTGGTAGTGGAGGAAGGGCAGACAGTGCAACTGATGTGCAATGCTGATGGTGACCCTCAGCCTACCATCTCCTGGGTGACACCACGACGGAGGCTGATCACGACTAAATCAAATGGAAGAGCCACAGTGCTGGGAGATGGCATGCTAGAGATCCGATTTGCTCAAGATCAAGACACGGGAACCTACATTTGTATTGCGAGTAATGCAGCTGGGAATGACACATACTCAGCATCCCTTACGGTAAAAGGATTTACTTCAGACCGTTTCCTTTATGCCAACAGGACCCCTATGTATATGACAGACTCCAATGACACCAGTTCCAATGGAACCAATGTGAACACCTTCTCTCTGGATCTTAAGACAATACTGGTGTCCACAGCCATGGGCTGTTTCACATTCCTTGGAGTGGTTTTATTTTGTTTCCTACTTCTTTTTGTGTGGAGCCGAGGAAAAGGCAAGCACAAAACCAGCATTGACCTTGAGTATGTCCCCCGCAAAAACAACGGTGCTGTGGTTGAAGGGGAGGTTGCTGGACCACGGAGGTTCAACATGAAAATGATTTGATGGTATAATGTGAGCAGCGCTTTTCTCTGTGGCATTATAACCAATTAAACATGCCTGGCATGTGGAATTGCCAGGCAGGGGCAGCTCAATGCAGTTGTCACTGTGTCAAATGGTTATGTGGAAATGGAAAGACTATTTGGGGGTGTACAATAGAGCCTCCTAGACTTGAGGCATGTCTGTCAGGGCCTTTCAAATCGTTGGTAAATGGTACTAATTGTTTGCATTGCAAATATTGGCATTCTGGGGATCTCAGTAATGAACTGTTGGCTCATGTTCATGGACAGTTATTCAACATTTTCTACCACTACAAAAAGAAAAAGAAAGAAAAAACCTACAGTGTAGGATTTACATATTTAAAAAGACACATTTGTCTAAAACATACTCTGCAGTGAAATTTGTATCTATAGATCTCATTTGTTAAAGCCTTGCATCATACCCTAGAATTGGTTCAACACCACAAAGAAATTGAACTTATCTTTTTTTTTAATATACATATATACTGTGTACATTTTAAAGCAATATGAATGAGAGGTTGTGCTTTGAGCTATCCACCAAGACTGACCCAAGTGTGATGTCACTCCTCCCCTTAACTACACTCAAACTCCAAATTAAACCTCTGTAGTTACCAATGAGATAACCCAAGATACTTTTGTTTTCATGTAGAAGGCCAGAGAGGCATAGAGGCATAGCTTAGGGCAGAAATGTTCTGCTCTGTCGGTCCTCTCTTCATATAAATAAAAGGCATGTGCCTAGTTTTGATACAGAATGGAGTATTTTTTATATCTGTGATATCACACTGGACCAGCTTACTGTAAAAAAGCCCTGGTTCTCACCCAGGAGAGTCCAACCTACTATGGATAGCAGACATATATAGGAGATTAATTATACTTTGAAAAAAGAGATTTGTTTTTGTCACCCATTGGTTGTAATTTACAAGCCATGTTAAAATGTTAATGTGTCCTGGGAGGGAGAGGGAGAAAGAAAGAAGAAAACGTGTTCTGTGTACTCCTAGGGTAATATGGTCACCTTAGTATTTGAGGGAGTGAATTAAAATGTACAAAAACTCTGTTGATCGAAATGAACTCTTCTCCAATGCCAATAAACTTGGGTTGTCCATGCATAATACAAGGACTGTACTACTAAAGAATTGTTGAATACATGATAGCCTGCAAAAGGCCAAAGTCACTGTCAAGCGCATCCCACGTATCTATAAATAACATACAAACACAAAAGCTAATTTCAGCTTTTCTAGCTGCCATTTTAATAATTGTATTGTCTTGGGGGCTTTAGGGACGATGTCCCAGAGCAGGAGGGGACAGTCTGTTTTGTGTTTTTGTGTGGAGAAGGCTAGGGGAACATTGACTATGTGTTTGTTTTGTTCCTCTAAAGATCATGCAAAAAGGGCTTGGAACTGGAACTGTAATGTCATCTCATTGTACTATTTTCAGATTCTTGGTGGGAGGAGTTGTGTTTAACTACCTTTTAATGTCCTAATACATATGAGCCATGGATTCATTTATTTAAATGTATGATTTATTTGGAATAACTTTCTATTAGAATAATAATCCATGTGCTTAACCAGTATGAGTACAAAAATCAATCCACGGTGAAATGTTCAAAAGTGTCTAAGTGACTTAGGAGCCTATGTCTCATTTTGCAAATTGACACACACTTTGGAGACTAAATCAGACTGATTACTGTGATTGTCACTTCTGAAAATGTTACCCATGCTCCTTGGCTGAGATGTTCATAGCAGAGCTATGGAATTCAGACACCCTAATTCCATTGCTATTAATACTAGAGGGTTCTTAAATCCCTTAGGCCACATTCCTACAATGAAAGCTGTCCAGACAGAGCTCTGATCTAGATGCAGGATCAGGATCTATGCTGCTTTGAAAATATCAACCTGTTGTTTTCAGCAGCTGATCTCAGTTCAAACCATTGCTATGTTTCATGTATCTGGATTTCAAGAGGAAGCTGAGAACTATGAGGGTGTTCCCTTTTATAGCACTACACTAGATAACTGAAGATTTACCTGCTGAATAAATTCAATGTATTATCCTTTGAAATTAATAAAATGAAGTTACCCCTGAATAAACACATGACAACAGATTGCTTTTGCTGATCAAGCAGCAAAGCCACTGAAACCATGTGACACCATATATGGACAGTAACATAAATAAATAAATGAGCGGGGAAGATGGCTGAATTGTCAGTTGGAGACATTTCCATTTGCTTTTCTCTTGTAATCATGTATTCATTAGCAATCCATTTCCCCTATAGTGATGATGACCTGATTTAACTCCGACAATAACATGAACATTTTGCGCAAAAGTGCTGCTAGTCTCGTTAGTAAAAATCTAAGCGGGTGAATTTTTTATTGCTTTAAAATACGCACAAAAGAAGAAAGTGATGGGGAAAACAAGGGGAGCTGTGTTCACAGAAATTAATCTAGAATTAAGTGTGTTTTCAAGTTCAATTTCTATCCAGCTGCTGAACTCTTTTCTTCCTCCCCTTCCCCATCCCCCAGATACATCTCACCGTGGAAAAAGTAATGCCAAATTGATGATGTAGTTGTTGCGCTGATAGGGTATCTTATCAGTACTAGAAGTGGTCATTTAGTTATGATGCAAATGGTAAAATCCATAACTATGGAGGCCTTGCAGAGACTTAATTCATAGGATTACACCCAGCAAGAGGTAGAGGATTATAGTACATTCTGACTTTTGTTGCCCAAGCACCGCTATTTGCTTGTAGGCTGATCCTATTACCCTCATGCTCAGCAGTACACTACTCCTTAAGACAGCCCCAGTTATTTCAATAGGCGTTTGAAAAGAGTAAAGTCCAACTTAACATGAGTAAAAATGGCAGAAAAGGGCACTAATCATTTGGTTTTTGGCTTCCTTTAGACCTGATCCTATACTCCTTGGGCATGTAACATTGACTTCACTGGGGTGAGCAAAGAAGGCAGGTTCTGGCTCAAGGTGAGCAATTCACTGCTCTGTTTGTAAACATAGGGGAGCAATGTCCAGAAGTGTATTTATTCTGCCTCTTATGCACCTCCAATCTTTGTCTGTTTGGACCACTTACACACCTGCCTTTGAAAGCAGGTAGTGTCTTTAGCTTCCTTTACTGTGGGCCAGATTAGTTTGAGAGGAATTAAATTGAGTGTAATGGGTTTTGTCTACTGCTCAAGGGTCCACCATAGCATATTCCCAATGCAGGAAAGTGAGCACAAATTGAACTCTTTGCCCTTGCTTTTACTTGTGTTTTTTCTACCTCTAAAAAGCTCGTTGTGGGGACTTGCAGACAGTGAAATTCCATCCTGTAGTGAGTTAAACACCAGAACTGCGAGCAGCACCAATGCCAGGCATAGTTCTTTTGAAAGGAAGTAGTTGGAAGCACTGAGAGTCCCAGAAGTCCCAGCTAGAGCATGCATTAGAGAAACTGAAGAAAGCAGTATGCTTGCTCACCCCTTTCAAAGTCTTTGAGACACAGACAGCATCTTGCAAGTCAATAAATCCTCCTGCTTTGACAAGTGAAGATCACATTGCATATCTGCCTTATAATCTGCAGCCTATGTGATTGCTCTGATGCCCCACAACTACAGTGAAAAGGAATTTGCAGGCATATCAAAAGATGATATTAGATCACCACGACACTAGGGTGGATAAAGGGCATCTGAGGTGTTATTAGAACACCATGACACTAGGGTGGATAAAGGGCATCTGAGCACTCTGACATGTCTACCCTTTGGTCTACCCCATGTGACACAGCGTATTAACCCTACACTGGGCCTGAAGGAATTAGAGAATGATTCTAGGTCCAGGTAGCACTTCCTCTTCAGACCTGCAGGGCATGCTCAGCTGGAGAGAAATCTTAAAAGGGAGCAACGCAGTGTTGAAGGGGGATATAAGCACATCCCAGTCTCATTCCTTCTCTGATTTAAAGAGGGGAAGGACTCTGCAAATGGAAGATGGAGCTGAACTCATCCTCCAGTGAAGAACCAGACTGAAAAGCCTTCCCCATTGAGGGGCAATCTGGGCATGTTACCCACTAGGTCACCTGGCCTCTGAAGGTTCTATTACATGCTACAATACATTTTTGTTCTGACCTTGCTCATCAGTTAGGAAACATCCACTGCCAACATCCTACCAATCAACTTAGCTAGATTCACTGAGTTTCCCCCCACCCAGGCAGCCCAGCCTATCCTTGTTCTATATTCTGCCTGCAGATGTCAATAGCTGGCAATATTTTCAGAAGCTATTCTTGAAATAATGCAGGTGTTGTTAGAGGGCTAGTGGTGCAATATGGTGTGTTAAGTGCATGGGGAGGGGGGACGGGGGTTGAGGCTGCCTCTAAAGATTTCCTCTCTTGCATGACCAAAAATCTACATTTTCTTTCCTGTATCATCATGACATTGTATCTGCTAATGATGCCATCACTAGGTAGAAGGGTGTGGAATCACACCCACCACATTGCAAAATTCCATACAAATCCAGTTATGGTATTCGCTCATCATTATTATTGCACATTATTTATAAAATGGGAGTACCCAGAAGCCCCAGTAAGGATAGCCACCTATTCTGCGAAGCATTTTATAAACTGATAGATACGTGTTCTTTCTCCCACAGAATAGGTAACACTTACTAACTGCACTTTATAAACTGATAGATACACCTTCTCCCACAGAATAGGTAACACTTACTAACTGCAAAATGCCAAAAGACACTATGTACACATTACGACCGCCCCCAAAGTGAGTTTAGCCATTATTTGTTGCAGATTTTGTGGCTGGCTCAGTGAAGCCCTCTAACCTGTGAGTGCTCTCCAAACCTGCTCACTTCCAGGTGTTCTTTGCTTTCTCATCTGTTATCATCTTGAGGAAGCCAGCTGTTTGTTAACATCCTTTCCACTGTGATTGGGAAGAGGCCAGTTGACCTGCACTGCACCTCAGAGGTATGCCTCCTTCTCCTTCACCTCTCACTGTGGAGAATCCACTTCTTTCATCCTTCCGTTATTGGTCATGATTTCCTCTTTCTTTACTCCAGCCCTTGCATGGTATCATTCCCTTTTTTTTGTGATGCCTTTCTAGCCTGTCCTATTAGGGTGGCTATCTTGGCTCTTCACTTGCTCTTTGTGCTGCCTCCTCTCTCTTCTTATTAGCTTTGAAGGGGATAAACCTTCATCCAGTGGAGGGACCCAGTAGAAAGAGGAGAGAGAACCTGCCACTTTCATTTCTCAGGCGTCCCTCCTGGATCAACCTGCAATGAAAGACACAAGAAGGAGCTAAGAAGACAATAGACTATGTCTCTGGCTATCCTGAAAGAGGAGTGACTTCTACTAGACGTAGCTAAGAATTCTGGTCACATCCATGCCAAGAGATGCTATGGGGAAACATCCGCCATTTATTGTGGGTCCCTTGTTCCCTTTAATTCAGCTCCTCCTAACACTTCTGCTGCATAAGGTAGTTGGTTAACATCAGAAGCTGTTTAGAAGGCTCGTGTGTGTGGCTTCCCCATCCTTTCTACTCATCTCAGATCACAAAATGACCAGACATAAAGGTTAAAATGTAGGACTGTGTAGCTCATCTGCTCCAATCCTTTCCTCTGGGTCTTAATTCTTATATCCTATGGCCCATCTCCCCAAAATTCAAGGGTAGTCCTCCCCTGCTCTGAGCAAGCCTATGACGAGAAAGATTTCAGAGACAAATAACTGAAAAGCCATTTGTTTCATGCAGTAGTTAAGAGAAGATTAATTGTTCTTGGGGTGGGGTTAAAAGTTAAGTCGCTGCCGTGGGAAATAACAAACTATGTGATAGATCAACTAATCATTGGGTTGGTTGCTGGAGAGTCACTGGGGAGAATGAGTGAGATTTTTCAAAGCCATATAAGTGATTTGGATGACTAGCTCCTATTAAATGGAATGGACTTGTGGACTCAAATCCCTTAGGCAATTACGAAACTTTCAGTCTGTTGCTTAGGTGATTTTTTCTCCATTTGTTTCTCTTCTTATTCTTCACGCAAGCACCCTCCACATGACTTTGACCCACAAGTGCCAATATATAGATTTGGAGACATTTAAATATTTGGGATCTAAAGCTCGACGTAGAAGATTACAGTG